CCGAGACATGGTGGTTGTCACTTGTTGGTGAAGGGGAGGCTGACTTGGGAGAACTATCTCCTCCTGTAACTCCCATCCATCCTGGGTCTTCAGGGCTTTTGGTGAGCGTACCTGCATCCTCTTTGTAGTTGCTGTGGGATTGTGGCTAAAATACCTGCTGCATCATTCAGTGGGTTTGGCTTCCTTCTGTGGCACCTGGAAGAAGCTAGTTAGTATAGAGACAAATGGGGAAGATCCGGGTTTGGACCTTCAGATATGTCTTCTCCTCTTGCAGAGAACAGGCCTTCGCCCAAGGAGCTGGAGGAGCTGGAGCTGCTGAACAAGGCCTTAGAGAAGGCACTGAAAGTCAGGAAAAGCATCTTGAAAACTCCACTAGAGACCCAGGGAGCTGCAGGAGAGAAATCTGCAGATGAGGGACCTGCTCCCAAGAATGTTCAAGAGCAGCAAGTGCCTGCATCTGTTGAGGATGTTCCTGTGACCACAAAGGTGAGAACTGTAAGCAAAAATCCTGCCTCTTTGAAGAAGCCCTCTCCATACAAGCTGAGAGCCCCGTATAGGACTGACCCAGATGTGAAAAAAACACAAAGGAAAGCCCCAGCCAGATGTGTTTCTCAAGGTCTCAGGACAGCTGGGAAGAGCTCCTCAAAAGGGGTGGTTTGCAAACAAGGAAGGAATCATAGGACAGCAGCCAGTGCCAAGGACCGAGAGGCCTGTGCTGCAGCTGAACCCCAAAAGACACCTAGCTTGTCCAGATCTGCCCTGAACGAGCCGCAAAGCTTTCCCATAGGGGATTCAGCTGGGGGAAAGAACTTGGTAGCTACTGGCAGGCAGCTCTTTGATGCAGGGAAGAAAAGTTGTGATTTCCTGGGAAACTCCATCAGAAAGGAGGACCCTACAACTAAGAGTGCATTGGGAAGGAGCACCTCACCTCAGACAGCCACCCTTCAGGAAAAGGGGTAAGTGCTGAGAGTGGGCACCTCTGTCTTGTTCTGCTTGACACTGACTAGCACATCTGCAAAGCCTGGTCTCTTCTACTGCTCTGTAGAGCCCAGCTGGGTTTCACTGCTCCTCAGGTCCTCCTCAAGAGGAAGGATCCTTTACAGCTTAAAAGCCTTTGTTGTTATTGAGTAAGTGTTTTCATTTTAAGGGCTTACTCTTGGATGGTTGGGACTTTGAAAGTCTTAATTTCATAGCCCCCTGTGACTGTTTTGGAAAGCTGTCTCTGTAGAGCTTTCTTGATACTTGCTTCTGAGTCCACTTTCTATTATAGCTTATTGACTGATTGATTTTACACCAGGATAATACATAATGCATGAATTCTCACTCTGTCTCTCACATGCCCGCTGCTGTTTGGAGAGATGGCATCTGGTTTTAATGCTGTTCCCTTTAACCTGTAAGATACCGCCTGTAACTACACAAATCAGTATTGACTAGAACACAGTTGTTTCAGGTGTTTGGTGTAGGAAGAATTATGAAGTGGATGTTACTGTGATCCTCTGTGGAAAATGGCAAAATAATACTTAGAAGATTGGCTTTGCATTCAGACCATTTTTAAATACTTTTTAATTGGTTTAAATTTTTTTTTTTTTTTAATACTTTCTATATTCTTTTCTGTGTAGTCTTTGCTTTGAAGAGACAGTGAGGTTTGGATCTGATACATGCCTGTACCTGGAAAATGTTGAGAAATAGTTCTCAGCTGCCACATCCCAACTCTTGTGTTTGTGCAGGGAGGATATGGTCGCTGTTCATGTGGTGTTGGAACGGACACAGGCAGTTGCTGAGGGAACAGGAATCTGGATTCAAATGTTTATTTACTTAAAATCCCAACCTTGGTCTTGTGTTCATAGCTTGCATGGGGCTAGCTATAACTGCCAACCCACATGCTTTTGCAATAACAAGTTAGGGTTTATTCTGCTTCGGGGCTAAGGCGCATATTCCCAGCGGAAGCTGAAACGTCCCTTTCCCATTTCTTTGTGTGTGATATGGTGCTAAGCAAAGCTGCCTCGTCGTGCTCAGGCATGGTATGGGAGGTTACGGCAAGATAGGGAGGTTTGCGCTCATGTCCTCTAGCGATTGGCTTCCTTGAAGATGTTGTTTCTATGTCTGTACTCTGCCTTGTCAGGGCTTTGCTCCCAGCTTCTCGCCTTGGATGAACCTTGGATGGCTGGTAGTAGGATGTGGCAGCTCTCCCAAGCCAGCTCAGTGATGCCTGTGGAAATGAATGAGCAGACTGATCCTCCTTCCTTGAGGACAGGCTGAAGGCAGTGGTGGATTCAATCTCCATAGTCGTCGACATTTTCCACTACAGCTGAATTAATTACAAATTTAGGCAAAATGTCATTTTCTCTATGTGAAGACAAGGCTCTGCTGCTCTCTGGCAGTCAGGATTGATGCTTATCTTGTTTTGTAGATGCCAGCTGAAGCTACCCCTTCCCTACAGAAAAGCCTATTCCAGGAACCACAGGTAGGCCCAGCCTGATCAGTCCAGAGCTACCCTCTGCTTAAGGACTGTGAGGAGGGGTCAGATCGGGGAGGCAGGGCTGGTTTGGGGGTCACGGGAAGGCACTGACCCAGCAGTGCGTGGGGTCTGAACTCGGGAGCAGGAGTCATCATCCAGTACAGCGTGTCTCTGGAAGGCTCTTGCTGAGGATATGTTTTCATCTTTTTCTAGCCACTAGTGTTACTTTTGTTTTCAGAGTGCTAATCTGTGTTAATCCCCAAATTGTAAAGGTACTGGCATGCTTTGATCATGGGTTTAACAGTGCTGCAGAAGTCTCTGCTGATACCGTATGCTTGTTGAAGGCAGGAAACTGTGTGGGGTGGGTGCAATCAGTTTCCCGCCCGGTTGCTGACCTGAACCCCTCTGCTGGGACACCTCTCTAGCTGGAAGCACTGCGGCTGTGTGCATTGGAGGCCGATTCCTGATGAAAAGCTCTCTTAGAGCCGATCACAAAGTTACTACACCGATGGCGCAGGTGGCTGGGTTTCTGGTGAGCGCAGGGCTCTAGTCCATTCTCCAGCCCTCTGGAAGCGTTTCCCACCACTTCCTTTGCAAAAATCTTGCTACGATTCAGCAGACTTTTCATGATGTGCTTTGTCCAGATATTAAGCTTAAACCGAACCTTAAATCTAGCTATAGCTCCTTGTGCTACCCTCAAGAATTCCCCCTCTTCTTGGGAACTGTCATTTATCAGATACCAATTTGTCAGTTGCCCTTCAGGGAGTTGTAAAGACTTGATTCTCTTAATTTTCACTTGTAAATTGAGCCTTTCAGAATCCTAATCACTCTGGTGTGATTTTACACTCTTCACTATTACTTTTAACTCTGTGACAGACTGAAAATAACATTTGCTCTGAGGATCCCTTAGAGAGAGAATGCATCTTGCCTGGTAACTTCTGCTCTTTTTTGTTCCATTAACTTTGCTATTTCTTTGCGTAACTAATTTCTGAAAACTGCACTTTCTACTGTGATTTAAAAGATCCATTTGGGTGGAGAGAAGCCATGTGCACACTTAGGTTAGGCCGTCATGCACTGCATAACTATTTTAAGCTTCCTCCTGATGGCTCTCACTGCGGCAGGTTTTGGGAGAATGGCTGGGATGAGCTGGCTCTTTGAAGCAGTCCTTTACTTAAAGGATACTATGGGCACTGTGCATCAGTGTGGATGTTGAACTCCATAAGTGAAATGCACCCCTCTGGTAGTGCTATTATTTGTGTAATGTGTTCCTTTAAAAACTGGACTCTGATACAAGGTCCTGCATAGCTAGCTCATGTTACTGTCCCTAAACCTCTGTTTTCTGTCCCTGGTGTCACTGGATGCACTGCTGTCATGCTTCTTACCAAACACACCACTTTGTCCTTTCAAAAAAACCCAAACAAACCAACCCCACAGCCCCACCCCCCCCCCCCCA